CAAAACAAACTATAGCATGCCCTGCATGCGTTCCAACTATATCCTAAAACCATATGCTGTTTCGCTAACTATTGGATGGAACGTCCACGAGTTTCAACACCACTGCCGCCCCCTATAGTACCTACAGGGTTTCTGGTCTTTCTTGCCCACGCTCCAGCGTATTGTAACCACAGTATACAGTGGAGGCCGGCTAAGGCTTAGCACCCACCCGGCCCTGCTCGAAGAATCGGGAGGTAGGCTGTTGGGGGGCTCTCGATAGAACTCTTGGCCTCTTTCATCCGTTTCTTTCCCTCACTCCCCGCAGCCCGCGCACGGTGCCCCCCCGTCGGTCACTAGGAGGTCAAGTCAGGTTATCCCTGATTCTATTATATCGCCTGACTGCAGATAGCCTTTCGGGTTCCTTGCCACAACAGCAGCTCTTCCCCCACGAAACCTACTTGTGTACAAAGTAGTGGGCTTCGCCAACTGCCATGGTCCTCCATTGTTCTCCTGTTTTGTTTCTTATGTCTCATCTGGTGATTATCTTCATTGGTGCTTTCCCTTTTCCAGGCTCCCTAGGGATTCCCTTCTCCATTAGAGATTGTTCAATAGTCACAGTCGACTAATTTTGTGCATTATTCTTTTCACCTCCGATTATATGAGTGATTGTCCGAAAGGACTAATTAGGGAAACAACCCCACCCAAACATCATTAGAGCCTACCCCCCCTCTTTCCCGGTGCACCTGGCATCTGCCCCTTGGCGCCATCACCCCCTACTGCCTCCTAAGTTAATGCCTTGGATCTCACACGACTAAATACTTTACTGTTCCACGTAAATCCCAGGGCCCCCAAACCCCTTCCACACCATGTCCAAACCTGCTCTCCCTGGTCACTTGCTTTGCCGGGCCTGTTCTTTCAGTCACTGCCGCTCAAAACAACGACGGGGGAGGCGTAACCTGTCCCCACCCCGCCCTGGTAATTGGCTTGGGGCGGGGCATATCCTTTCCACTCTCCCGAGCCCGCCCCGTAACCAATGCTACCAGTTATATACTAATAAAATCCTCGATATGTATCTTTGCCATCCTCCGGAGAAAATTCGATTGTCTATTGCCACATTATTGAATCTCTATAACTGGGTTTGAGATCATGGACTGCATGTACCAATTCATCAAGTAACTATAGAAGAGCAACTTATGATGTTTTTATAAATTATTGGACAGAGAGCAACAAATAGGAAATCTCAGGGGTACTTCTAACATGGCAGGAAACTATTTCTTAGTAACTATTAATTCAGCTAAAAATATTTCTGTATCCAATTTGAATATCCTAATCATCATACTAGTACAGTTGCTTCTACGATATTCTGAAACCCCTCCCGGGCCTATTTCTCAGTGAGGTATTTATTAATCTTCCACCATACAATATCCACTCATAAGTACAGAAAAACTGGGGAAAGATAACTAGTGATGGACATGATCATGATCGAGAGGATCCCATGATCGAATGATTGAGCAAATTGGGAGACCCTGATCGAGTGATCAAGCAGTGATCGAGCATACTTGAGTCTAGCTAATTATGATTTTCTTTTTCATATAACAATATTGCCTGCAACTGAAGGTGCTCTGATGGAACACTTTGCAAGAATGTTAGTCAAAAGGCTATCCAGGGGCCACCAAAGCAATATTTGGTAGTCGTTGTCCGTGGAGTTTCAACCACTGGATAACATCTATATTCCGGTCTACCCTTGGTTCTTGGAAGTGGATATCAACTTGGGATTTCATGAGATCATCATCTAGAGCGAGGGTATTTTAGACAAGTGAATTGGTGGGTCAGGCGTGTTGGGGGTTCGGTGGTGAAGTGTATTCTCGGGGACATGATATTGAGTGTGTGGTGCAGACAATGATTGTATTAATAGATATCACGTAATTGCCAGGGCAGATATATGTATAGGTATTGATAGAGTTATCGATCATGATTGATCATGATCAAACACGGTCGAGCAGTACCCCTACTCGAGCAAATCGAGTAGATCATGAGGGCTCTGCGCGAGCATAATCTGATCGAGTGGCCCTTATGATCGAGGGTAATCGAGCATGACCTGCTCGAGCAAAACTCGATCATGATCTGATCATGGCCATCACTAATCCTATCAACAAGCGGGTTGCGTCAGCGGACCAGCGGTCGCAATGTTGTGATCATTGGTATGGCCCTTCCGGGCCCAAAACTCTCATAGTCCTTAATTTTTCCCCCAAAAACCAGCTAGGCCGCCATCCCGGTGGTGTACTGTACTCTGGCCATATATAGTTTTTGTCGCAGTAGCCTGGAAGCTTGGATGGGGTACCCTAGTGATCGAGTAAATTGTAGCAAACCCTGTTGTGGCAGGCTGTAGTAGACGCCCTGGTTGAGAACCGGGAAACCTACCGTGTCTAGAGGCAAACTGGGGGGATTGCTGGCTCGTCTAGGACTATAGCGCTCCCCCCCCGACACCAGCCACTTACCCATAGGGGCTGTTATGTTGTGATGGATTATCGCGTTGCTTATGACACGGTCACGATTTAAATAACTGTTTAAATGCTTTGTGATCGGTCTTGATCTATCACTTAATTATTGGTCCAGCTCCAGGTTTAAGACTATAAGTCTAGTTTCCGCGCAGGTGGTCTAATTTCCGCGGTGTGGCTCGGCCCCTGGCCCCCCAGCAGTATCGGTGGGAAGGGGGGGGGGGTTAGTGATAAAAATCAACAAAGGCCCTGGAGCTCACATTTATGAGCCCCCCTTCGAAGGTCTGAAAGGGTTTAGAAAATCCATAAAAATATGCTACAATAGCTGAATCAAGACTGCAATATTATACAGCCAAAATGAGAGTTAAGGAGAAAAACGTAAATAAAGAAAACTAGTTCAGAATATATCCTTCAGGTGCCATCAGCACTTCTGCCTGCATGCCCCCATCAATACTATCGCCTTGAAAATACCCTGATAGTGCCCAAAAAAGTGAAAAATATCAAGAGGGTCAGCCTTTGTGAACCCCCCCCTCAGAGGTCATTTGGTAAACCGCCAGTTGAACTCCCCCTTCGAACCCCCCCTAGACCCCGCCAAGGCCCCCGTCGCAACATTGCCCTCCAGCACCATTCCTAGGCTCTTAGTTAGTGCCTGGACAGTCATATATCTAAGTAGGGTAACTTTTGGGGAGTCCAGTTTCCGCGCCAGCTAAAGTACGGTAACAAATCTTTTCGTCCGGCACGGCAACAGCAACCCCACCACCACAACAAATTTACTACCCATACAACCACAACTGCTTAGAATAAACTGAAAATTTAGGTATATGTCCAGTACATGTAAGAAAGCCTTCATATGAAATTAAAGAGCAAAAAAGTCAATACTTTGTATACAACCCCTTTGCATCCAAAACAGCAGCCACCCTACTAGGCATAGACTCCCACAAGCATTCCAGAAATTCCCCTTCAATATGCTGAGCCCAGACCTGATTCAGAGCTTCTGCTAGACATTTTCTAACAGTATCAGGACCCCCCTTAGTCTTGTGAATGTTAGGAAAGTGCTGATGCAGCTTTTCCTTTACCCTTTTCCAACAGTGCTTAATAGGATTGAGGTCTGGGAAATTAGGAGGCCATTCCATAACCTGTATATGGTTTTCTGCAAACCAAGCCATAGTATCTCTTACAGTATGTATCTTTACACCATCCTGCTAAAAGATAGGATCCCCAACTGTGTCCTCTACCTCCTGCCAGACATCAACTAAGCCATCCTCCAAAACCCCAATATATACAAATCTATCCACACTCTTGTTAAAAATAGGAATCAGTGGACCCTTATTTTTACCCCAAATGCAAGCCCAAACCATGAGCTTTACTCCTGGTCCCTTTGTAACCCCTTGGATGCAATCCTTATGCTACTTTTCCTCAGGTGTTCTGAATACCCAAATACCCCTAGGATCTTTGGACTTTTCAACCATGCATTCATCACTAAAGATGACACCTTCAAAATCCTCTTTTGTCCAATCCTTATACTGCTTCGCCCAGTCTAACCTCTTGATAGCATGTTCATCCTTTAACAATGCTCTCTTTCTTGCCCTCCACTTCTTTATGTTGACAGAGGCTTGAGGGGCAACCTCATTGCGCAATTCTGATAGAGGCTGGCGGCGTGCTTTCTTAGACTGTCTGGCAAGGCGGCGGCAGGTTCTGGCATCGATAATTTTGTGTCTGCCAGGCATGGGAAGGTTTTTCCCATCACCCCTCTTTTGATACCGGGTATAGAAACTGAGGACTGTACTTTTGGGACGATTTAAGAGATTCCCAATCTCAGAAAAAGAGAGACTTTTTTTCCTCAGGGCAATGATTTGCCCTTTCTCAAACTCTGTAAGATGGCTAGTCTTTGCTTGAGGCATGGTTGTTGAGGAGTGGTTGATTGTTGAGGTGGGATTGGTTGCGGGGTTGCTCGGTAACCACCGATCGGACGAAAAGATTTGTTCTAGTACTTTAGTTCCCAGGTAAGCCGTTTTCCTAGCAAGCCGCTTTGTCAGTTCCAGGTAAGTCGCTTCCCTGGAAAATTCTAGGTAAGCCGCTTTCCTGGCAAGCTAGTTTCCGGGTTACTAAACCTAATTTCTATGGTAGATAGTTTAGTTTCTAGGCGCTATGTCCGGGTTGCTAGTTCGGTTTGAGAGTCCATAATGCCAAGATTTCTACGACATGGGAATGCCCTTCCACTAATATGTTGGCAGAGCCTCTTCGGCGACCTATTGGCGAATCGCGGTGGCCCTCGCTTTCCACTATCAGAGATCTCCGCTCTAAAATCTCCCCCATTTTAGTCTCCAAAGTGGACGAAGTCCAGGACAGATGGGGGGATGGGCGCAAATTTGTAAATAAGTACTAACTTACAGCCTCCGCTCCTCAAGTGTAAGTGTCCTCCATCACATCTTCCTTTCAAACTTCTAACATTGCGCAACCTTTGTCCAGAAAGGTCTACTATATCTATGCGCCAGTAGTATGGAGCCAAACAAAGCCTCATATCTCAGCACGAACACCAATAGCTTTAATATCTCCAATAGCTACAACTAGAGAAACACGCACACCGCCGTCTACCCTACTATTGCTATAATACCGATAAAAGATTACAGATTCTATCTTGGATTCCCAACCGTGGGCCCTGGAAGAGGCATCACGGTGCCGCAGCCAACCGGGCCGTGGGTGTCGGGGGATCGGTTCTTGTTGAAAATCCCGACATGCTGCTTGGCATGCTCCCCCCCCCTTCCTTTCTCCCTCGCCCCCTACCACTCCTTCCTTTCTTTTCTTTCCTTCCTCCCGTTTCCCCGTTGCTCGTTCGTTTGTTCGTTTGCTGATTTGTCTGCATGGTGGTTTCTTTTTCTGTTTGCATGCTAGTTAGTTTTGCTTTGTTAGTTTCCCGGGAGCGCGCTTTGGTTATTGGGGGAGCGCTAAGGCACCGGGAGTGTGCGCGAAAGGAAGGCGCGATAGGTAGGCGTAGAAGGAAGGACACCGCGGAAGATGAAAGGTTCTGGAAGAACCTGTTATGTTTGTTTGTTTCCTTTTGTCAGCGAGAGGATTTCCGAGAAGGGGAAGGGAAAGCATACCGGGCAAAGGGAAGGATGGGAGGACATCGTTTTCTCTGTTTGTGCAGTAGTTAGTATTTTTCTTTGTTTGATTGGTTTTCCGGGGACGTACTTTGGCTTCCGGAAAAGCAGTTTGGCGCCGGGAAAGCGCTCCGGTAGTGGAGCGCGGAGGTTTGGATCCTTATGGAAGGAAGGCGACGAACGGAGGAAAAGAAGAAAAAGCCTGGCGGAGGCTGTGATTTGACGGCAGAAGTTTGTCTTTTTCCGTTATTACTTTGTGTGTTTGCTTTGGAGTGAGATGGGGGGGGGTGAAGACTTCATAGTTTATCGTCTATCGCTTGTGGTTGATATATACTCCTGTCATGACCCTTAGTTAGTTAGTTCTGTGCGCGATAGTTTAGGAGGTGAGAGAGTGAGTGAGAGAGAATAGAGATTGTGCATGTGCGAGAGGTGAAGAGTTTTCAAGTTTCCCGCCTTTGTGTGTTGAGTCAGCGCTTGGCGTTTGTTGTGAGTCACAGGATATCACTCGTTCGTTTCAAGGCTGCCGACAGGCTCGAATTTTTCAATAGTTCTCAATGCTGGCAAATTTCAGTCATGGAGGTACAGAAAGGGCAACGACTCAGTAGATGCAGTTCTGTTCTGTTATTAGGCTCCGGGAGCTGGAAGACTTTCATCTGGTGATAATTTCAATTTCCCATGTCGCGGTTTGTTGCTGACCCGCCATAATAAACGCTCCCTCGTTATCGATACCCTGTGTGACGAGACGCCGGCCGCAATATGGCCATTGCTTGCTTGTACTGCGATCACCGTGACCAGGAAGGCGAAATACCTGGAGATATGATCGGATGTCTCCTGAGGCAGTTCGTTACAGGGCTCCTGGGAGTTCCACGGGATATAAACGAGTCTTTTCAGACTGCGAAAGCTCAACTCGGGGGGTGGGCTTCCCAGCTCCAGAAGCTCATTGACCTGTTTCCGAGAGTTCTCGAGCTATATGAACAAGCTTTCATATTCATTGACGGACTAGACGAGCTCCCTATTGAATATAGGGCCGGGTTTATCCGGTCTCTACGGAAAATAATACGGGGGTCACCAAACATACCGCTTTTCATCACCGAAAGAGGGCATATCCAGGTGGAGCTGGATGGGCATCTTATGGAATCACCATCGACGATCTACATACACCCAAACGATTATGACCTTAGGATATACTTGACGATGAGGCAAGACGCCGATCCAGACCCTGATGTTATGGATGACGATCTGAAATATGAAATATTGACCCATCTCCCACAGAAGTTCTCAAGGATGTAAGTAGGACCCTGCTGTCCTTGATACACACCAGGTTAAACCAAAGATCCTACTAACACCCTGGAGAATTCTGCCCATTGCTTTGCAAGCCGATGATATAGTAGGGGAAACCGCCATCTACAACAGGAGAGAGGCTCACTATCGGGCAGCAAATGGGCTGGACAGCATTTATAAAACGACCATCGAAAGGATTAGACGACAGCGCGGGAGCAAATCAAGGCTCGGCATTACCGTCTTGGAGTCTATTTCTTCGGTCGGGGAGGCTTTGCACATTGATGGACTGCATCACTTTATCTCCATCAGTGAGGAAAGTCGCAATTTAAGCGTTAAAAAAGTTCCCACAATACAGACCCTTTTGAGTTCTTGGCCTAGTCATATTTGGCAGTGAGACATCAACTTTACGCCTCCTACATAATACGCGTGCAGGTACCTCTGGGGTCGTATCAGACCTTTCCTAGGTAGCTATACGCCCGTAATTTTCCTAACCTACTTTAGATTGTACTTAAGTCCTGCCGTTCTCCATCTCAAAGCACCAGACCGCTAATGTCATATAGGTCTTTCCGAGCTGAGTGCGTACCACCGGAGAGGGTTGTGGCGTCGCTATAGCACTGGCTCTAGCGTTTCATAACTTGAGGCCTATATGCTCGAGTATATCCAGCAAGCGTTCAAAAATAACGGGAAGACGCCAAACTGAAGTCTTTGATCTCCGTAGCGTCAAGAGTTCGCTCCGGTCAGACCGGAATAATTTTGTCTGATAGTTTTATACATTTCTGTCCGTTCTTTTGGTCTTACAAGTAGTGTTAATTTCCTATCTATCATTCACAAATAATTTTCCTCCCCCCCCAAACTAGTACTGTACACACCCTAGGGGTCGGTGTGGGTGCTACCCAACTTGATACCACACCAAAGCACCATTATCCACTTTAAGTCGCAATTAAAAAGTCCACAGTATTGGGCCCCTCTCCGCACAACCCCCACCATTCCCGGCAAACCTATTTGATAGTGGTAGAAATGCGTGTTTGCTTGTGCACACGGATCGGAGGAGAGGAGAGGAGAGAAGATGTTCGATACTCTAACAAACAGCTAACAAATAGTCTATCTATATAGACAACACCACTGTTGGCGTAGCGCCCCACATAACCACCACGTCTGGGGTGTAACCCCATACAGATAACACACTCCATGACTATCACACAGCCACCCATATCTCTACATGCTCTGACATCTCCATCCTTTTCCCATAGCAGGGGGATACTACCATCACTATTCACGCTATTCCCCATAACTATCTTGCTATTAACACATGCCTTTATCTATTCACACTCTAATTTACCCTTTTATCTAATCAGCATCATACAAGACACAAAAATTTAGGGAAATAATATCTCTCTTTCATTCCTTTTCTCCCGGAACCCATTCCTACTCTACCTCCATATAACCTGCCTCTAGGGCCACAAGAATCCCAATGTGGTTTACCGTAACAGATAACGGAAGGAATACTTTACACATCCGTCGCACACAATACCCTGCATGGAGGGGATTAGGGCCTGGTATTTTTTAATTTTGTTACCCCCATCCCGCAACGGCACAGAATCATCTTCTACCTGTTCAGTCCACGCTTTCCGGGATTTCCTACCAGCATCCAGCCCTTACTTTTGGTTTTCCTGAACCAGCTCAATCCGCTGCCGGGTGCGGTGAACCTGTCCCGCGACCGTTTTGTGCGTGTAGTTTACGGAGAACGCTCGCACCCACCCAAAGTGCTGAGCCATTTAAGCACAGGAAAGACCCGAAATCCGGGTTTCTGAACGGGTCCAGCTACTGTTGTCTAATTATCCTAAGCGCGCTTAGCTAATCCCTGAAGGATAAAGGGATAGTCTCTTCCGCGACCGTAGTATAGTATCATAGATAACAACTCGGTTTGGCTCTACCGTTACGATACTGGACTATAAATTACGGACCGTGGGCATCCGTCAACGGCTTACCAGCTAAATATCTACCTCACGAGTTTTGGAGAGTTAGTTGGACTAAATAACGCCCCTGTATAAAAATTTTCAAATAATAGTATGAGTTTTTGAGCCAAAACCTACCGTGTTTGTCCACACCACACTGTTCCAAAAGGTGGGCGCGATCCACCTAATTAACCCTACATTTTTGCACACTCCCACCGGAAACCTCACAAAGTTTATATATTATCCCCTGGTCTATTAACCAATATTCTTGTATGTTGGGAATCCCCATTGGCCTCCAGATTTTTGTACGTAAATGGGCATTTGATCATTATCAAAACTTTATGAGTTGATCTGGTCTCCTGCTTTTGACCAAAATGAGTAACGTCTATACTAGGGTGGTCTGTAAAGAGGGTATCATGATAAAACCCCTGAAGACTGCAGTGAGATCTACTACGGCTCCGGTAGGTTGGAGTATTGCCAGGCTAGTATGAAAGTAAAGGAGGGCCTTGTCACGGAATATTTCATAGCAGCCGGCCCAGACCGAGTGATGTCTCATGACGGGCAAGTGAAAAATGAGATTTGATCAGAGACCCATACAGAGAACATACTATAGCGAATAATTGACAATCATAACCACGTACCAGTCTCGGTGGCTAGGTATGATAGAGGTGGATTCCTGGAGCCCCTGAATTTGCCATCCGTGCTAGAAACCTGCCAAGATAGAATTCTGCGAAATTGGGAAGGTTTTATAGAGCTTAGATCGAGAACGACTTCCCCTGTTGATCCGCTGTAGGACCCTTCTAACCTGAGAGGCCAGAATGTGCTACGTGGTTCGATATGGGGTTGGCGTTACCGGAAGGGGTTTTCTTCCGGCTTATATTCTGAAATATACCAAGGAAATACCTTCCTTACCCGCGCTAGTGTGTATCTATTATTCTGTCTGCTGCTGCTCAGGATCTTCCCACTTTTTTTTCCCTTTTTACTTTCACACCAACTCTTCCCGCTAATCTCCCTCCATCAATTCCCGGGAGGTAAGATCTTAGAGTGCTGGGAGATTCTAGACTAAATGAGGTGTATAAAGTTTTCCCAGGGACCACGTATACTTTGAGCAGTGAGAACCTTGAACCCGCAGTTTGGTAGGGAGCTGGGAGTTCTAGGGGCAGGAAGTGTATGGGGTTCCACTATAATTGGAAAAAAAAAACTCTTGATTCATGAACTACAAGTAGATAAAGACCGGTTATTTCCCGTATTACCTGCCCATTTTACAATCACTCCGCCGGGGGGGCTAAAGTACCTACAGGGAAGCAGGATAATCACGACCGCCGCCTGTTAAGCTCTCGTGTCTGTCGTTGGGTTGGCGTTGCTAGAGACAACCGCACAACCTCGAACTTTATTCGATGCACAAAAAGAGAGAATATTTCTATATCTCAATTACTGTATACTAGTAGACAGTCTCAGGGATACAACCACCGCTGTCGGGGGGTTTGATAGCGTTACTACAATCTATGGCATATCCGAAATTAGAGCCCGGTTATCTCTGCCAGAGAACTGCGCGCGGCATGAAGAAGCATGGGTTTGGTTGTACTCAATTTGGCCCCTACATTAGTATTCAACTTTGCAGCTCAATAGAATCTCGAAGAGTTAAGTCCAAGCCACTACCAGAATACAACTCATTCCGAGGGGGATGACATCAGGCCTCTCAGTGGCCATTGCCTCCCCCTGCTCACATCTCACTAGCTACAAGACCTGGCTATTATAAATTTACCTACTCGAGATGCATAGGAACAGTTGTTATTAGGCTAAAGGAGATTCGTATTGGTATACATGTTCCGCCCCCGAGCAAGACATAAAGCCTTCTCAATACCGATGATTCCCGCTAGGACTCACTCCCGACATTCATACCCATAAAAGACGAATGGACGAGAAATACATTTTCTAGCCCAACGTGCTGTCGGCACATCTACAGGCTATATGATAAGCTGGTTGAAGGCTGAAATTCACAGATCGGTTGGCGGCTCCAGCCCACCGAGACGGGAATGATAAGCTTTCAAGATGACTTCGAGGTCATATTTCACAACTTTCGGCCCTAGAGGTATTCAGGTCGTAGCGCTGCTTTTTTGTTTTTGTTTTGTTTTGAGATTGCTCGTCTTCTAGCTG